TTATCTCTTTAAGGAGTTTTAGCTCTTTTATCCCCGGAAACCCTATTAAAGGCTAGAGATCTGCATACCCGTATGCAGATACTGCGGTACATTAACCTTCCGACCCTCACGTGCTTCCGGGGTAACTTTCATGTTTCACAATACGTACACGACACACACACAATAGGTATTTTCAAATATACTTTTATAACCAACAAAAGCCGAACTCGGGTTTTGTTGAAAAAAAAGTATATTTGAAAATACCTTATATCAGATATATCTTTAACTAGAATGGCTATCGAATAATTTATTTTTAATACATATATTGCAACAATAAAGTTTAAGAATTTAATATAAGTATCCAAAAAGCTTCAACGAGATAGTGAGATCAGCTAAAATTTCAGTGAATTTTACAAATTCAAGCTATTTTTGAAAATTTTTTTTTAATGTTAAAGCTATTTTTTTGAAATGTTTTTATATATATAACAGATATATAATATATATATTTATACTAATATTTCTTTCTTTTCTATTTATTTATTTATTTAATTTAATTTAATTTTCACTCACTTTATTAGTGATCCAGCTTTTAACACAAAGACAGGTTCTTGCCGTTTCAGAATAAAGATGGTTACAGGTTCTTGAAATGGTATTGCTAGCTATCAAAAAGGCATACTTGTATACAACACTAGTGGCCTAAATACTGAGGTAATCAGATGCTATTTTTGAAAGAATCAGATAGATTTTTTGGTTCGATTTCTACCAATCTAGTAGGTTAGTATCTTCTTTAATAGTATTAAACATAAGATAATTATCCAATTCATTTGTATCTGTAGTTGTTAATTCTTGTCTAAGATTATAATTAAAAACTAATAATTCTTCACTTTTTAGTCGATTGCATAAGTTCTAAAAAAATTTTCAGGCAGTTTTAATAGGATTTTCTGAAATATTATTTGAGAGTAGTAAAGCTTGTCTATCTTGAATATATTGATTCATAGCTTCTTGAATGGCTTTCTTGGCGTTAACAGTATTTGTTTGATCAAATATTTTTAGTTTAGTTCAAGGGTTAAGAATAGTAAAGATAACAGAGAGCTTATTCATTATGATCCAGTATTCTTCTATTTTTTGGTAAATCAATTCAGCAACTTTATTTTAAGAAAACTCTTCTTTTTCAATACATATATTTAAATATTCCTAAATACTTAAAAAAACCAAACGTATATTACCTATAGTTAGATATGATGTAGAAAAAAGCAATTTTGTAGTGGCTTCAAGTAGTTTCAGTAAGGTAAACATATTCTAAAAATCAATAATTTATTATATATTAGTTTATTATTTAATTTTATTTAAATTATTAGAGGTTTTGTACACTAAATTAGACATAGCAGTAATGAAATTTTTTGATTATTTTTTTAAATTAGGTATGCAAAACTGATATAATAGTAATTTTACTTTTAAATTGTATTGTTCATTATTATTTGGATATAGCAAACAGATTGATAAATGATCAGCAGC